ACGTTTCCCTACTATAGTTCTTTTGAAAAGCTTGGTGGGTCATATCAGAAAATATCTGCATATTTGGCATATAAAATTATTTCATATGGTCCCCTAATACTTTTTTGTATCAAACGTACAGCTATAGGATCACTATCTAGTTCATCATTATTGTGAAATTGATGCAGGAATTTGACAAGAGGTAGGACGAAGGTACAGATTTATACAGAAGGGGAAATTTAACATTGTAATTTGTTACAATCTTATGTATTCATTAATAACATGTCATTCCTAATTTTGCATATTAGCAGTTGACGTTTTAGTTTTTGCATGCAAAAGAATATAAAAATATATAAAGAATCATTAAAATGTCTATTAAAATGTCTATAGTGTAATCTTCTAATTATATTGTAACACTTATAATTCATGAATTCATTTAAATAAACGAAACTTAATAAACCAGGTAATTAAGTGTTAATTGTTCTGAAAATATTTACATGTTTTGCTGTTGTGATGTCTTTCAAACATTAATGTTCACGATGAATGATCCGATCTGTACTACACGACTTTTGTTTAAACCGACTTCGTTACAGAAATATCTGAGTTGTATCGTGCGGATGTGTAAAATTCACGTATCATTGTAACACGTCCTATAGAAAGTGAGACTCGTTGTTAAAATGAGGAAACCTGCTTTGTTCGTTGACATGCCATGCGACTAATACATGTTTTTTGTAAGTATTCGAAATACTCGTCATGTGATCTAATAGAATAACACTTTATTTTCCTTCCCTTTAGCATAAGGTCATTGCGACCGCATTTTACAGATAAAGCTTTCTAACTAAATGCTTTTGAATAGTGAGTGTTACAAACTTCTGAACACAATTATGGACCTTGCACAATACGATCTAAAATTGAATGAGCAATTCGCCTTCACTACTGTCGAGTGGGGCTCGAAAAACGAGCATGTCATGTTTCAAACCATTAACTCATGATACACTTTATCGAGTCAGGACCAGACAAACCACTGACAAACAACAACAAACAACGAGTCTGACCAACCGATCATCTTTAGTTAGGTCATGTGACTAGCATATACTGGCTAATTATTTCTCCCTGGGATCCCCATGGGACTATGTATTATCAATGTTTATATTTATTGAATTTTGCAATCAATCTGGTTAGACATATCTGGGTCATCATTTTGCAAATATTATATTTGCAAGTATATTCACATGGATTATTTCACGTTACTGATAATTGGGGTCACCGTACTCCGAATACGGTACAACGACAACCATAATACATAATAAAAAAATGTCATATATATAACAGAAGTAAGTCTCATCTCCTCCACTGATCTGATCCCTGTGTTATGGTGGACGCGAGTGTGTGTCATCTAATAATTAAAATCCGAGTGAGTGAGTGAGTTGTGTTTAACGCCGCTTGTAACAGTATTCTAGACATATCACGGCGTGTCAGCTTAATGTCTCCCACAAAGCTAGAGTGATGCAGGTCTTTTACCACTTTTACCACTTCGGTGAAACCCACGAGCACGGGTATGGTGCTGACAAACCTAGAAACATTATCGGGACACACCGGGATTCGAACCCACAATCATGTTTTTTTTAAGATCCGAATTCCCTACCACTGCCAAACTCGCACGCCGTGATATATCTGGAGTACAGTTCATAGCGGCATTTCAACCATGTATGTTTTTACTCAAGTGAGTGAGTGAGAGAGTGAGTGAGTGAGTGAGTGAGTAACATCGCATCGGCTAGTGAGTGAGTGAGTGAAAATTTGACGTCGCATCGGATAGTCTGTGAGTGTGAGTGAGTGAGTGAGTGAGTTGGTGAATGAAAAGTTGAAGTCGCATCGGCTAGTCTGTGAGTGAGTTATGTACAAGGCTATTTCGTTTAACCATTCGATGTCACATTTGCATGACGAATTAGTTTCAAAACAACTATATCTAGTCCTCGTTTTCAAATAGTCAAAGGAGGCGTCTGTATATGCTATTGTTTAGGATGTGACGACGTGTAATAGGGATAAACAAACCTTTTGAAGACACTTGCCAATAACAATAGAGGACTTCTGTGTGACCATAAGTGATATATATTGAAAACTGTTAAACCTACATAAGAATACAGAAGTTATTCAGGGAGCAATAATACTATATTTTTATATATCTATTGGAGTCTAATCGAGACTGGACCGGATAATTGCCATCGTAAGCATCGGTCTCCGCAATCGTGACATGAATGAACCAAGTCAGTGAACCTGACCATCCAGTCCCTTTATTCGCCCCTTGCGACAAGCATGGATTGCTGAAGACATGTGATACAGTCAAACGAACTTGTCAAAATAGTTGAACTCTTTTCGAAGTAAAGAAACAACTGATGTGGGTTGGTCAAACATATAATTGCAACCTAATACAGCTGTTCCGGAAGCGTCGTATTTTCAGTAATTTCCTGTAAATAATCAATAACAGGGTCGAATCTCATATATATTTCTTTATTGAACGATTTCTTACCGTGTGAAAATTGGTGTGAAAACAGGTAAGGAAATATATTGGTAATATCGTAAAAACAGAAATTGTTCCAGCATATAAGAACTGAATAAAGTTATGTATTGTGAACAGAATTAATCCCCTACCTTAATACTTACTTGACATTAATGCGTTATAATTGATGTTTCAAATGCACCTCGTTGCAGAGGAGAACCATATGTTTTCAGTTCAATATCGAAGCATCAATATTTGTGAAGAAACTATCTATATGGCCTCCAGGACTTGTCCTTATCCGATCTTTGTACACAACATACCACAGATCTAAACAGACCATTGTACCTTCATGAGTTATAATGAGTAGTCCAGGTAATAAAGAAAGTTACTTCTCTAATAGGGAATAACAAAACAACCACAGGAACTTGTGTAAATAACAAACAAACTGTGCTGTGTATACTGTGCCAAATTTAAATAATGTAAGATTTGTAAAAGAAAATGAAACGTTATTGTTCTTTATAAGTGATTAGAAAGTGCACGAGTTCAACCCTCTTGAAGTCAAAGCACAGCATACATCGAATCTTTAAAGAACGAGAAAGGTGTTTGAGTTTTGTGAGCCTCGACATGATATGACAAAATGATCTAAATGACGTTTTTTTTTTAGCATCTTCACAGATGGTTATGTTTCCAAACTAGACAAGCAGAAGCATTCATCAAAAGAAGGAAACGTTTGGTACAAAAAACAAAACAACCGTCGAGCACGTTACAATGCATACAGGTGAACCAACACTTCTCTATGATACATAATTGTATTGGGGCTACTTTGATTGTTATCAAGTCATGTTTTGTATGAAATATATACAACCTGAATTTATTTCTTAACCATAAATTGTTTGTACAGAAAAATAACTGAAAATGTTATTGTCAAGACCACGTTTCCACTGAATATCCCGTGATGATGGCCTTCACTATTTTAGGTATAAAAAATGCTTTGCTAATCTTTTATTGACGTAAATAATAACTACATGAATTGTGCCAGCTTACATTTTAATCTCATTTAACAGGCATACGAACATGATACATAAAGTGACGACTTAACATAATAAATAACTTGGTGAGAATAGATATATAAGACATACATGTGCAATTCAAAAAAAAAAAAAATTAACAAGAAGTGGAAAGGGAGAAATAAAAATATATTTGTATTACAAATTTTTAAATATCAAACATAACATATCGGTGATAAAATACAGATCTTCGCACAATATATCAATTGGTATGACACATTTGATCGTCGGATCGGGTTTTAAATACACGTCTTCCAATGGCTACCCACAATTACAGAAATTATCAGAATTATTGTGGATGACGGTTGACCTTGGTAACATGGATTATATTAGGAAGGAGATTGCATGTACAAAACTTTAATTCATCCATTGGATATAATCGACCAAGTGTGGGGTACTGTCACGTTAATCTGAGACATTATTCGTTTAAATTTGTGCAAGTTATTTTCATATCGAGCTTCCTTTCAGGTTCGGACCACGCGTGGCCAATTTGCTCGAGGGGCAAAAATATATGAAATATTGTTCAAAGCGACGTGTAAAGTCAGTATCCAAATCTAATTAATGACACGCCATATTATTTGTATGCTCACATACTCTTTCACCATTCATGATATTGAAATACGTGAACATAATTGAAACCTTGCCACGTATGACTCTTGGTATTGGAGTGGTCTTGTTAGTGCGGAACTTGTTTCAGTCACCCACAGTACAGGAACTGAAACAAAGCAAGGGGAAATGTAAATGAGGCGTTAAAACGACATACTGACAAACACAAGGTGTATTTCACATAGCCAATAACGACAGTTCAAATGACACGAAAGCGACAAAACCCTTTCCATATCTATAGGATATAGGAAATCTCGAGCTTATTGTACGATCCCGACTATATCATGAACAAGTGTATATGAATCACTATCAAATAGTGATGACACCAGGTTTTCGAGAAAATGTGAGCCTATCCTGCCAAATCGGTGGCATCCGTCACAAATACATGCAAAGGTTAGTCAATTTACCTGGAAAAAAGACAAGACAGGACCACAAGGCACATTAAAACTATCGGATGGTGCATTCTCTTCATATAGAAAATATAAAACGTCAACGCCAGAGAATAACCAGTCTTAGTTGTACATCAAACCAGATTCGACTGGGCGTAAATAACAAAAAAGCGGTGAAAATTATGTGAATGGATCACTGAAAATTAGTGATGACCTGGAATTCACGAAAAGTGAAAGCATGTCCAGTAAGACCTACATTATGTTGGAATAAAACATTATAAGCCGATGAATAATGGTGTGAGCATGCAGCACACCCAAAATCACTAATGCATAACTGAGTATATATATGTTTTACCTTATTCCATAACATCAGCAGGTTTCTCCGGTAGTTGATTGACGAATTCATAGTAGTCATTGTCCTGAGCTCCGTCTGAAACGTGGGATAACGCTAGCATCTCTCCGTCAGATGAGTATACATGGGGCCACATACTCACTGCTGTCTGAAAAATATGTATGCATGATTACATCATTCACCGTGTGCGAAACACACAATACTGCACTTGTTTGGGCGGTCGGGTAGCCTAGTGGTTGAAGCGTTCGCTCGTCACGCCGAAGACCCAGGTTCGATTACAGACATGGGTACAGTGTGTGAAGCTCATTTCTGGTGACCCCGGCCGTGATATTGCTGGAATATTTCTAAAAGCGGCGTAAAACCGTACTCACTCGCTCCCCCCCTTGATCACTTGTTCGCAAAGCGATGGTCAGTGACATCAGAAATCGTGTCTACAATGTGTGACATAACACTGCTGCTGCACAATACTTATCAATGACAATTCTCTCAAAGTGCCCCTTTGAATGATCATCAGTAATTACATTCAAATTAATTAGGGTACTTAAACAAGGTACCGATAGTCAGCGTAATGCATGACGTAGACCTCCTCAATTCCTTCTAAGTGAAAGAGGTACAGTGTAGCATAAGGGCCCGTCTGGTCCCACTGGCAATGTCAATTTTTACAGTTTCCCATCTTTGAAGTATTTTTATGAAACGTATCGATTCAAATTGTTGACAACTAGCGTTTGTATCTCACTGATGAAAGTTTGGACATGGTCAAATACACAACAATGTCTGAAATGAGTGTAAATGGCCGTCTTTTAGAACTTCAAATAACAATCTAAGTAAGAGCAAGTCCTTGAACCATGATGGATTTATATGTACATCCCTATTCAAATCAGCTAGGGTCACACATTTGCTCATGATACAATATTAAACCTCTAAAATCACCTTTTGTGACACATGTTATCCTTACCTATGCATGTAATGTGGTCATGGATGCCAAACATACAATTGTTGAAATGAACAATGTTTAGTTCCTATTCATGTGAGCATAGCTGATAACTTTCATAACAATTTCTAAAAGTTTTTCACGAATCTAAATTTGCCTCTCATCCTGTGAGCCAAGATTGGTTTTATCCTACATTTCTAAAACATCAGTAACAGCATCACATAATCCACTATTGCATCAACATGTCGAAGACGTGTTTGTTAAAAACGATGGTTTAATATACCTGGACTGGTTATCTCCAGCTCTGTGTAGCTCACAGTGATAGGTCTTTGTAAGTGTGAGTATTTCGGAGTTGCCACTGGGATGTCGTCTATAAACATATGGTAAAGTCACCATTAACGCCACGTTTCTTGAAGTAAACTGCCATTTGCAATATATTTCATAATTAGAATACATACATGATAATGATTTCTTCAATATTGAACCCAAATACACGAATCAGAATACAAACTTCCATGTGGATAAACACACACCAATCCTATCGAAATGTATTTCAAACGTTAAACATTATCGATGTTTATCATCCAGATGAGTCTGGTGTTATCAGAGTCCAGTTTAAATATGTTTTCAATACAAATAGAGAACAAGGTATTTACCAATGTAGATAAAGGGTGTGCTCTCAGTGTCCTCCGATTGAACGCTAGAACCACAAGACATATGCAGGTAATGAAACATCGTTAAATTGAAGTTTTCGCGTTTTCCAGACATCTCGACCTGACAAATAACACGTCTCAGATAATATATCAACACTAATGTTTTTGAGTTTCACTCTCGAATTACTAGTAAATAAGATATATGATTACATCTGACCAAACATGATGCTAAATAAGCCCATGCTCATCACCGCTTTATCTTCAATATTAGATGCTGTTTAAAAGGTTTACCTTTCGGATGGCATATGTTCTGTAAAAGACGAAAAATGTTACAGACATTGAAATCATCATTTGCATCCAAATGTATTTTTACTTATGAGCTCAAGTTTCCAAGATTCTGAAATAAGGTGTTAAGTACCACGTCTAACTTGACAATATTTCTTCAACAAAAGCGCTTCTTAAAATGTGAGGTGACTTTACATAAAAAACTCCGAATAAGATGTGTATTCATTAATAAGATACACTCAATTTAGGTTGCTATACAGTGACAGTTGGAGTTACAAATATGTGGATTACATTATTTACCGTTTTCGGTGTTGACGCATGTGCATCCTTTCTTCCATAGCACTGCGGTAATGACACCTGTGATTATGGCCAATAGGAGTACAGGAACCACCACACCAACGATTAGTGTTCTATCAGCTGGTGTCTCATGGTTTGGTGCATCTGTGACAAATGAAACCAATTGAATTCAATTTAAAATAACGATAATGAGAAATGTTTCAAACAAAAATGCAAATTCATTCTACAATGTAATTAACTTTGATGGGGACATTTATATTGAGTATTATAATTCCCCTGATATGTTATTAAAATTGGAAGCTCAAAATAAGCCATACATTATGTAAACTTTGTAAAAATTTAAATATGATGTTTTTGTCATTACAGCAGACCGTAGTTACCCATTAGTGTCTTAGCCTTAAGTGAAACACGATCCTCGGATTCATATTTGGTATTCATGGCATGTAATTGGAACTCGTATGTTTCTCCCGGGTGCAGGTTGTCTACTTTCACAACTTGTTTAGCCCCTGTATCACTGTAGGTGTTGAAGTACGTCCATGCCTGTGAACCCCACTTGCGAAACTCTACCACAAACTGTTGAGGGAAACCTCCGTTAAACCTCGGTTGCCATGACAACCATACAGCATTTGTTGATACGTTTTCCAGACTTCTGAATTGTGTGGGTTGATCGGGGGCTCCTTAAAGATAAAAGCATATCTGTCAAGTGTGTTATTTTATCACTCAAAAAATTATTTTAAATGGTTTTGACACTATACGATAACAAATGAACATATTACCAGTTTGCGAATATTTCTTTTTGTTAGTTATGACCGATTAATGCTGGATTAACAAGCGTGACAAATACCCAAGTGTAATAACACTGTACGTCTTCAAGTTTAATTTAATGTAATTCTAAACGCAATTTTATACAAATAGCACATTGATGTATCGTATTTCTTGTTTCAAGATGAATACTGGAGTGGTGGATTATCTATCGTTGCCAGAACATGTAAAGCTATTTAAAAGTTAATTTCCTCTCAGAATATGTCAGAACAAAGTTTTATATTGGTTCAATCCCAGCAGTGAAATGTAGACATCCACATATAAGCACCACGTTAAGACATGTAATCGAACACGTACACTTTTCTCGATCGTTTTAACAGTTACGTACAATTTGAAATTATCACCAAAGCTTATGCATAAACAAGAACTAAAAGAATGTATCAATTTTATCAATTTGAAATTCGAATAAATTACAAATCATAACTAATAATACATCAAATATGATCCAAATGAAGTGATGACAAACTTACCTGCAGCCACAAGAACAATTGTGGTTGCTTGACAGTTGATAACGTTACACACCGTTAATGCATATCGTCCTGTGTCAAGCTTGCTGTCAAAACCACCAATGTTGAGGGTAAAATTAAAGCCCATGTCTTCGACTATGACCCCGTATATATCAAGCTGTACGGGGGTCTCAACAACGTGCGTTCTGCTGGACAGTCTCTGTTCTCCTTTAAGCCAGGAGTAGTTTGTGTATCTCGGTTGGATGTAGAACGTCCTGAACAGCGTCACGCTGTCTCCTACCTCTTTGCCAAAACGTTCGTCCCTCCTCATTCCAACGGCGAGTTTAGGGGAGGCTACAATTATATACAAGACACACTATTACTTTAAAAATACTGTTGTTTACAGCCAATTCCAGTTGCGATTTTGGTGGAAAAATATAGCAGATTGCACCTAGCAGGCTTTGGGACTGATCGAGAACAACACAAATCACAAAATTCCAACTGGATATTCCGGATCCTAAATCACTTTTGTTTATGACAACTGCAATAGCATCGACATTCTTTATAGTTGAAAGCGCATCTGTAACTTACTTCGTATAAACCAAACTCCATTCAGGTGTCTTTGTGTCAGGTTCACCTCGATTTATATATCCAAATACACTCTTCCTGGTTTAACATTTCATATTTAAGGCTACTCTAACTTACCGTTTATTTGTACTGATATGTTGGCAACTTGTTGAATTTCCCCCCGTATGTCAGCAATTCCATTAGTCACCTCACATGCGTACAAGCCAGAGTCTTCAAAACGCGATGTGAATCTTTTCTCATATTGTCCTCCCGTTTTCGTTCCTGTGACATTACGTATAAATTGGCCCCTCCACGTGTGTACAAAAGGAGAGAAAGTGACGTTTCCGGGTCGTCCATCAGCTTGACATCTTACTGTAGCTCGCTTTGTCTCATTCTGTGTGACGTTATTCCCTGATACGTCAGGGGCATCTAGGCGAAGAACATGAAACTTCATCTTCTTCTTCTTCATTATCAAACAACCATTATCATACATGACGACACACAGAATAAGATAATAAACTACCAACATGAACTTACATTCAATTGTTGTCTTTACAATAGCAGATGTGTAAGAATCTGATCATAACACCTTTCATTAAATAAACAATCAATACTCAAAACGGTAGATGAAAGCGATAGATCTAAATTGGACTATGAGGGGAAGTGAAATGGGGTTCAAAGATGCGCTCTAGTTCGTGTTTCTTTGTCTATGGGAGAGTTTATTTGTGTGTATGTGGTTGTCTATACTAGTCCGAAATAAACCTGCTTTTATAGTGCTAGACCTCTGAGATATCATGCTGAAGTTTAACATTGACGCAGACACTGATTCCGGGCCGACCAGTCGTATCATTTTATCCCCTTAATGCCGAGCGTCTGGCAGGGTAACACGTACTATAGTTTTAACAGGTTTTGTCTCTTGAAGTCTTTGCTAAGTATTTAGAAGTTCGAAAACCATGAATAAATGACATTTTTTATGGATCGCAACGTTTTATTTCTTTGTCACAACCGTGCGGGGCAACTTCTTGCTCCTCGATCGAGTGAATGCTGTGTAAGTGCATATATATGATCTCGATACATTTACTCACCATTCACGTTATGAAGGAACAAGAAGTAGCTCTGAAACGTGAATGCTGTGTAAGTGCATATATATGATCTCGATACGTTTACTCACCATTCACGTTATGAAGGAACAAGAAGTAGCTCTGAAACGTGAATGCTGTGTAAGTGCATATATATGATCTCGATGCATTTACTCACCATTCACGTTATGAAGGAACAAGAAGTATCTCTGAAACGTCGTGACAAAGACTTAAATAAGATGTTATCCATAAAAAAAGCGTGAAATTTCTACTTCTATTGTGAAGAACAGAATTACTTTGGGAAGAATATATAAGCTTCCGGTCAACAGTTATTTGTATTCAGAATTTCCCAAAAGACCTTGACACTAATGCAGATGAGAATCAGCTCTGAGACATCAGTGATTGAGCTTCAATTGTACTTCACAGCGCACTATTATGGCAACATCGTTTTTGGGCAAGGGCTAAGTGTTTGTACTTACAGTTGACAATAACATCAATCGTCTCCGACCCAGACATTGTTCCAAACGACCCCGCTTGTGTTGTAGCATTGCACGTGTACTCTCCATGATCGCTTCTGTCGACATTAGATATGAACAGCAATGACCCATTAAACTCAATGCCTGACTCAAACGCCCACTGATATCCCGTTGGTGGTGTTGGTGGGTTACTCGTAGATGTGCAGTTCACACTGAGTGGTGTACCTTCAATAACCGTGACTCTCACAGGCGGGGAGATTTCAACTTGCGGAGAAACTGGTAAATATATAACAATACATGAGTGTTGCAATATTATACGTCACACATGTTTATGGTTTGATTTGTTTATCGTCAGAATAGCCGTTAAAACGTGATGTTTTCATTTTTGCAGTTTAGGACAAATATTTACTTAAACAGATATATATCAATTAACGTGTAAATGTGATAGTGACTTTTGAGAGAGTACAACATTCATAAGTCAGTTTTTTCATTTATATACGACAAATCAATATGTTTTCAATGCAACACTTACAAAAGACGTTGAGAGTAACAGGCGGAGATTCCAAAGAAAGATGTTTGTCAATTGTAAATTGGTTTTCAGCTTGACACTTGACATCTATAGAATTATCTGAGTCTTTCAGGGCTGACAACGGCCAAATTTGATTGGTGTTGAGAATTGTGATGTTATTTCTGTACCATATGTATGTCGCTTCAGGATTACCAACATCACTGAGGACACACGTCAGGGAACCATTCCCACCTTCCACCCAAGGTAGAGTCGGAAATACGGACACGGTACCTATAATAGGGGGATCTGTAAAATAGATGCAAAATTGAATAGAAGGTGTGCAACATAATTCTAAACTAAACGAGAGTGTGCAATCTGATTCTTTTAAAAACGGTGTTACATTTGAAATTTCTTTTTGAAAATTTCGGATGGAAAGACTTTTCATGACAACATTATTTTTTCTCAATCCCAGATTTATAAAAAAAAACAATGACACAACCTTAACTCGGTCGGTTCCAAATGACATTTTTGGGACACAAATACACGAATGACACTCGCAAATCCGAAATTTGCCTTTGTTTCGTACAATTAACGGTTCGCAAAGCGATGGAATCTTCCAATTAACAGGAATATGAAAGACAAACATGCACACTAAGGAGATTGGTCTCATCAGAATGAAAGATGGAAAGTGAACTTGTACATTATGTATGGACTCTAACTTAAACAATCAGCAGTAAATGATGTGGAATGTATTCACATACTCCACACAAACACACGGTCACTCACTCACTTCTCACGCACGCACACGCACGCACACGCACGCACGCACGCACGCACATACATACATACATACATACATACATACATACTCACAATAGACATCTTTAGTAATGTTGGCGGTAAGTAGACATTTCCCGGTTGAATGTTCAGCAGAACAAAGACAATGTTCAGATGTTAGTTTCCTCGTCACGGAAAAAGTAAGGCTTGTGACTCTTGTGTCACTGCCGTTATTTGTTGTTGTTGAATTCTGACTGGCTTCAGGACAGGTAAAGATGATTTTGCTGACGACAGGTCTCCCGCCAGTCACGCGACACATTAGTGTTATGGTGTCCCCTTCGTATAGCGGAGTGTTTTCAATACCATATATGCTTGGTCTGTTTTGAGGGGGATCTGAAGCGAAAAGGCGATACTGATCAAAACTACAAACACACTCATAACTTTAAACCTGAATCATGTTCATCAGGTCTATCTCGGTGCTTTAAATTTAGTATGGGATTCGTCTGAATGAATTGTTTTCCAGTGTATGCTCCCATGATTAAACACATTCGTTTTCTTTGAGGTGAGGTGAGGTGAAATTGGGTTTAACGTCGCGTCCAAGATTATTGCACTTATGTAGCGACGTGCATGCACGTGTGTGTGTGTGTGTGTGTGGCTGCTTGTACTAGTCCGGACTGATGCCAATTTATAGTGCTAGCCCACTGAAATACCATGCCGCAGTTTAACATGAATACCCCACTCAGACACAGTATACTGACTCCGAGCCGACCAAGTCCTTGCTTTCACCCCTTAATGGCGAGCGCCAGACAGGGTAACAACAAGTACCATCTTTTCACGTCTTTTGATATGGCGCGGCCGGGGACCGAACTCCGGACCTTCCGCTCTCCGAGCGGACGCTCTACCACTTGACCACGGAGGCGGTCTCGTTTTCTTTGAAATGGCTTGTGAAATGGCAAGTGTTTGGCTTGTTCCATCTCCATCCGGAATTGCAACAGTTAACCTATAGTAATATCTCCCTCGCTCTGTACCTCATGGTAAGGCTACCTACATGTTATGTCCAGGAGGACTGACTCCGAGACGTTGTCTTGTGTCTTTATGCTGCTACCTTCACACGTGATAGTGTTGTTATCCTGATACCACTGGGTAGTGAGGATCAAGGTGGATCTGTAGACATAGCCCCCATCATGTGCTGGTCCCACTGGAACTGAACTGGAACCAGAGAGGACAGACCCATCTGTGGAGTTCCTCCAGGTCAAGACTGGGGTGGGGCTGACATAACTGGTTGTTGTGCAGATAAGGGTTAGGTCGTCAGTGGCAATAACTTGATTGTTTCCAGATATGTTGACTCCAACAGGTCCAACTGTATAAATAAATTATTCTCAAATCAGCCAACCTAGTTCGAAAAACAACAGCAATCAGTAACGAATGCAATTAACTATATCCCTAACCCTAACCCTAACCCTAACCCAACCCTAACCCTAACCCTAACCCTAACCCTAACCCTAACCCAAGTTTCCCTAAGACCGAAAACGGGTGTTGGATCGTAAAGACGTGTAAGTTTCCCTAAGACCGAAAAAACGGGTGTTGGATCGAAAAGTTGTGTAAGTTTCCCTAAGACCTAGAACGGGTGTTTGATTGTAAAGATGTGTAAGTTTCCCTAAGACCGAGAACGGGTGTTTGATTGTAAAGATGTGTAAGTTTCCCTAAGACCGAAAACGGGTGTTGATTGTAAAGATGTGTAAGTTTCCCTAAGACCGAAAACGGGTGTTGGATCGTGAAGCGAGAGTCACCAAAGCGTGAGGCACGGTAACGGTATAACGAGACAGCGGTGGCACTATAGCGCGGTAATTTAGAGGATGGTAGAGCTCGGGGTCCGCCCGGTAAACTGCATTGTTGCCTCCGAAATATAACAATAAAATAACCGACACCGTTATCAATTTACATAAAACTTTGCCTTTACACCACCAGACACTAAACCTAGACCAACTGAAGATCATGTTCTACAATACCCTTTGTCTTGCCCTATGCCCCAGCATAAGTTACGTCATCACATTAGCATCACAGTAATAGCAGTACGTCAGAATAAATTGCACTCGTATGCTTTCTTTTTTAGTCACATGTAGAGGTGTACTTGCAGTAATATTACACAACGTCTAACACTGGATTGGGCATCACCTTCAATGCACCTGGTAGATATTAACATAATAACAAGTTTAAGAACAAGTAGTTAGCTATTTAAAAATATACATGACGCAAACTAATATTCTTACTCAGCTTTATATAGGATACATATTTACAACAATAGTCATTAATATGCAACAAAACTTAAAGAGCAACTTTAAGAAGAGTTATATTGAAATTACTTAGACATATGCGTACCTTGCAAAAAATAGAGATAAATGTAAATCAAAATTAAGTTAATGCTAGATGTCCCTCTGTGTACTGGATAGAAACCTTGTATATCAATAAATATACCCCATACATACAGTAGACAGGAAGTAAGAGGCTTTCACTCTTTTCTTTATGTTGACAGGCCCAACTTGCATTGTCCCACAGTCTGATCATGGTGATGGTCATGTAATAATCCCCACTCGACCCACAGCCACATATGTACCCAGGAGTAGCGCTAAATTGTTCACAGCGCTTTAGAGACACGGTACAAACAATGTCGTTATTCCTTTTGAAGATCAGAAGATTTGCAAGAGACGAATTGGTTGTAGTGCAGGTAAACTGGAACGGCTTCGCCAGGACTGCGTATTCCGATGATCCGTTCAATGTAACATCTAGGTGAAAAGTTATAACGTTTCCTCCATTAGAAAATGGACGTAAAATCTTAATCCTTCATGGCATTAAGATTTCCGAAATAATCAAATAAGGCTATGGAAACGTCACCACTAGCATTGTTCTTAATCATATTTGTTTAGAGTGAGTATTGTTTTACGCCGCTTTTAGCAATATTCCAGCAATATCACGGCGGTATTTGTTTAGATACTTGAAATGTCACGTTATGCAACAAATGAAGAGCAAAGGTGAAATTTCTCTTGCTTGTGATTCAAAGACTGGGTAATAATAAACATTCCCGATAGAAGAACATAAACGTTGAGACGTTACTAGGCTGAAAACGGTCGCCGAAACAATGAAATCTTAAGGTTAAAACTTACAACTATGATACCTGTATCAAATACATTACGATCGAATAACAATTTCTTGTCTCATTCTTCGCCATCAAATATGGGAGTATACTTTCGTTTGACCCGATTTTTATGTGTAATATTTAAACTTACCTGAACAAGATGCAAACGGCATCAGAAGCAGAGCACTCAGAAGTTGAGACAGCATCATATAGTCTAGGGGGGGACTATTTGATTAGATGGCGGTTGCTTGCCTGGCCCATCTGATTCGTTAAAGGAACGAAAACGTCATTCCTTATCATTGTTACTGCTTTTCGTCATAATTTCTCGTACATGTGATTCAAACTTAATTTTGTCTAAAAATACATATGTAAACATATTATAATGCGTCTGAATACACACTTATATGTTCAATTTTGCGATGTCTATGTATTCATGTATTTTAAGCATATCATGTTTAGGCTTACCAATATCATAAGCAAACCAATATATTACAATTGCAGTCGGAAGTGTCACAATCATCGATGTCTCTTATGTTAGCAAGCACAATAGTATCATATGTTTACAAAAACGAAAAAAAGATAACGATGACAGTTTTTTTAAGAAGTAGTAGGTTTGTTTTCGGATGATTATGTTGGCGTTATGCATGTCATATCAGAAAGTCAGTCAATGCCGTTGGGGAACACCTGACCAGCTATAACGTTCTTGATGTTCATTTCTGGACGCAATAGATATTATTCAAATACATGTCTATAACATTTCGGACAAAGATCAAGGTCATCGTTTTGGTGGTGTACACGAAGGGTGTCAGTAGGTATTGTCCAGTGACTCTTCCTTGCACAATATGAGTGAGTATGGTTTAACGCCGCTTTTAGCAATATTCCAGCAATATCACGGCGGGGGACACCAGAAATGGGCTTCACACAATGTACCCATGTCGGGAATCGAACCCGGGTCTTCGGCGTGACAAGCGAACGCTTTAACCACTAGGCTACCCGACCGCCCCGGCACAATATGAAGGATGGTTCGCACAGTCATATTAATGCCACCCCACTCCATAACCGATCCACCGACAAATCTGTCATGAGGTCTAAGGTTCACATTCTATTGTTCATTTCGACGTCACCAGACACGACCACACCTATCAAGGAAGCGCAAACTTAATCGGGACTCATCTGAAAACATGCGACGATTAATGTTTCGACGTTGTGCACACCATCGGCATCTGTCGGCAATATGACGATTTGTAAAGGGCATTTTGCGTTAGTTGGCGCCTGTTCCATGGTCTGCATATCACAAAATGCGAAACATTGAACATATTGGCCGACTTTCCAACTGGCTTTCTGGCTTGTCAATAGCCCATAGACGGTCCGCGCGTTGCAGGCGCCGCGTCGCTATTTCATACACAAACAATGAATGAAGTCTAGTACACCACAACTGTACGATCAACAACAGAAAGAAAATTTCGCTGTGAAATCTGGTTTTGTTGATGGTGGAGCACAGAATAATAGCACAGTAAATATGCTTATTCTTGTTATGTAGTAGCACATCATTCGTATCGCAGCTTTAAGGAAAGCAGTTTCTAAGATTCTTATATTCCAAACAACGTCAATAGTGGCCAGAGGGTGCAGATTGTGGTGAATTAATTATTTTTAACACACATATTTATATATTGGAGTACTATGTAAAGGATAAGACATATAGATACACAAATGATTTATAATATGATAAATGGAAAAACAACTTCCGGATTATAAAGTTGTTCATCCATATATTCTATCCTCACTTTGTAATAATTATCATTCACATAAAGTTTCAGCTTGATCGTTGTAATATGTATGTTGTTTTAATTCCTCTTCAAATTCCATGCTTAAATCTCAACTCCATTGTAATACTAATCATTCTACGAAAGTATCAATTCTTATAATTAGAGCCGTTCAGACTAAAAGCGGAGATTTTTTTTGCAAAAGCTTCATCATTTTGAGAGTATTGATGTTGATTAGAAGAAATAAATTTTACCATAATAGTCCTACACATCTTCCTAAGGTTTCGACTCTATGTGTCCAGTGATTTTTCCGAAAGAATTCCCAGAGCTTGATCAGAGAATGAGGCCAGACTTCTTAAGCTTTCAGGCTCAACACTTCAGCCATGTCTGAAAAGTCGAAGATGAAATCTTTCGGTCATCAAGAGCAGTTGATTGTCCGTGCATGCAAAACGTAGTAATACTGCACGGCACCCTAGGTACACTGGTATATACATAGTCAAGAATGTCAAATGTGAAAAAAAGACAAATAACCAGTGCATGGAATCATTGATATTCAAATAGTATCTGAAAAAACAACAGAGGACTAAAGACTGACACACAAATCTAATGAAAAAAGAAGCAGTATGTCATTTATGGCAGAGCCATACAATGTCAAAAGGTAAAGGTAAAAAAAAGATAAATAAAATAAAGCATCGCAAAGAACGGAACATGAATGTGTTTAAACTGAAAAAGTACCACATTTTATTAGAATTGTCAAACAAATATTTCAGCTTTAAATACGGCCAAAAACTGCAAAGGTAAAATGAAGGTAAATAAAAGCTCAAAAGTCAGAAAATTTATATTCGACAAAAACGTATTTGAGTCTCTTGAACAAATTAGAGTGCCCTCAGTAGTTGAAACAAGCATGTGAAGTTTCAACTTCATTGCTCAAGAGGTATCTGAGCAGAAAATGTTTATAACGCACGACAGACGACTGACACTGGACGAGGTACAAACACTCGATGACATAAGCTCGCTTATTCAGACAGGAGAGCTAAACATGAAATATCCTTAATATATAATAGTGAACACCCTTGAGCAGTTGTTATAAAGTAAATGTAATGGTCACAAGGTATACTTAATTAAAACGTTGAAATAAACATCACAAGTGCACATATTCCTCCTGTAAATGAAGCCAGGTACATAGAAGTGATTTGTTCAAACAAATATTACTCCTGAAAGAAATCTCGGTTAGCATGTCCTATCCTGTCCCTAATCATGCTGAATAATGTCGAGTAGTATCCTTACCAGTCTCCAGATACAGCACTTTAGAATCCAACCTACCGAGTTTATTTCCAGGGCATCCGTTTATGCACACAGGCATGTGCATTCCTCCATCATGTAGTGTTGCGCAACAGAGAAATACACATTTATCCCGCCCCTTGCATTATTGTCCTGCGTGTAACTTAACAAATGCCGAAAGAGGAACAGTAACTAAAATGAACATTTATCCTTATCAGGAATATCTGATATCATTTCTTTGTGAGCCACGAGCACGAGTAATCTAGCTAGCAATGGATGTGCAGAGCTGCATCTCAAAGCTATGCCCAACATGCATATCAATAATTATACACATGTGTGGCTAAGTTTACGAAGGCACGTATAAGTGAAGCGATTCGAATGGAATCCGGTTTAAACTTCAAAATAACGCTTCCGTTTGCATTTGTATTAACAACGTTTCTCTCAGCAGCAGCAGCAGTAGTAGAAGTAGTAGTAGTAGTAGTAGTAGTAGAAGTAGTTGAGGACGATTGCATTTGAAGCCGAGTGGTGTAACATTAAACATGGCCTGTCAAACATTGAATGCTTTTGTTTTTCTTCAACAATCCTCTTATTACCTTTATGCCCAAATGCACACCGACTGAAGTCGTAATACAGTCGTAATAACTGCACCCTTGCTGATCACTGCACACGACCCTGAAGCGGGGACTCATGTTTATTTATGGTTGCGCAAGACCGGTTTACAAGGTAAAGTCTCGTACCGCGTATTGTCGTTGAAATGGCGAATGTGATAACATGTAACATGGATTAAAACTACAACATTACAGCTGTCCTTGGGTTTACTGATGTGTACATTGTGATCGTCCTCGCGCATTTTCGAATGGACACGTCTAGTGATTCCAGTGCTTATAAGACAACTGTTTCTTCAACTCACGGGATATAATTAAGGTCATATAAAACGTTGACTCAAGAAACGACGATCTATTTCCTGTTGAGCAATACATGACTGGATTTGTAGAAATGCCAAGGGTAAGTTGAGTTTCAATTATCTAATCACTGAAACTTTGAATTATCTTTTGTATCCTTGAAATCAACACGAAAAACATTTTTAAGTCATTGACATTGTATGATTAGAGGCAACAGTTTGTTCCTAAGATTAAGAATAAGGAAGAAATCATTGTTCAAAGTGACAGACAGTACTCATCTGAAATATCACCAGGTGACCTATATGTAACTAGGGCACGAAAATAAACTTGCTGGGTCGGTGTTGACAATACATTCAGAATCGACCATACAGAGTATTCATCAGGAAATATCAAGAGATCATTTATTGCTACTGATTGGGCGAGTTAAACCTTTCTAGTGCTAACAAACATACAAGTGGTGAGGTATTTTTCATCATTTCCACTTGATAATAATGATCTGAATATTTACTAACATCTATTGGCAGCACGGATGCCAGTATAGTATCAGTATAGGGACAGTATAGTATCATCACTATTTGATAGTGATTCGTAAACATATGCTTATGATATAATCGGAATTGTAAATGGACTCTGCTTTTAGCAGATATTTCTTTTGATTATTGACATGCTTGTGGTTGCCTTTATTTTAAGATGTGGTGAAGCATGGACTTAATTGGAGAATAGCAAAGGATATATGATGCTTTATTTTCATCAATCTGATAATGGTTTTCATAAAATAAAGTTAGAGTTTTATCAGTAGTTATGAAATTTGATGTACAGGATGTATATTGTATTTTGGGTAATGTGTGGTGAATATTTTGGTGCATTTTTATATTGATTATGTGTATTTATATTTATTTCAGATGCATGTTACCTCTCTTGTTCTCTTGATCATAGTTCTGACAGTACAAGGTTAGTACACGTATTAATATAAATACGGTATGACCTTTATTAACAAATTAAACACATTAGCATTGTTTGTGGTGCTCTATCTCAGGTTGATGTGATCTAATGAAGATGTGATGTAATCATATGTAGGACATCAGACTTGCCATTTCTTATACGATGAGATTGTTCCATCTATCTCTTCCATCTTGGTATGAAACTGTCACAGATTCTTGGTGCATTTTTATGAGTTAGTCCATTTTTATTAAACGCAGGCAATTCAAATCAGTCTAGTTCTCTTCCTATTAAATGCATGTGATACTACTGTGTTATTGACATCAGTGTCTCATCTAAATATATGTCCAGACTCTATGGCTATTCCAGTACATTTCTCAAAACGGTAGAAACAGTGTTCACATTGTCTCTTTTATCTTTCAGGAAATGTGTTTTAATTATTTAACATTCGTCAATGTGTGGAACATGTCGAAATGACTTCATACTGTTTTGCGTATTTTAGGACTCAACGTTACACACATTAGCTGTGGCACCTACTGCGATGCAATGCCTGGAAAAGCATATACATTAAGTTGTTCCTGGATTAAAATGCTTTCTTCAGGTATCATATGGGCAATCAACGGAGTTCAAAAACTGGTATGTGACAAACATGGAACATGTGAATGTATTGATCCTGATGAAGGAGGATATAATGGATCTTATTACAATAACTCGGCAAAGCTGGTTATTCAATCATTTGATTATAATAAACACAGTGGCCTCTGGAAATGTCAAGATGGTTCTGGCCCCCAAAAGAGTTGTTACATTCACCAAAGAGGTAATGTTGGTATTATATACTCATATCTGTATTCTGAATACCTACTTGCATTTACTTGTTCGTTATTTGAAAAACGTATCAAATTATAACTGGTCGGATGATTCTGAACGTGCTAAATGTTTATATTCTGAATTATGTACTGTTGTTAGATAACCATAACAGAATGTGTGCTATATATGTCTTATATATAAATAAGATACAGAACCGTAATAGATTTCCTGTGGCAGTAACTTATATACTGATATTGCATTTTGTTCTAAATCCCTATGTGTGAGATACAATATTTGCAAAATGTATTACACTACTCATATTTACAGCACATTAGTTTGAGGTAATTTGCTCGTTTAAGAAAATGCACACTCTTCTAGATGAATATTGGTTCATCTTGAACGTCCTGTTATGCTTACATTATCGACATTGCTTTTGAAAGGTCACTTGATAAAAATCTATCTGAAACGTGCAATCCACATGTGATTAGGGAATCCAGAAATAGACTGCCTTGCACTTATTAACATATGTTTTATGTCAGATATTGGCACATTGCAAGGCACTTGTGAAAAACACGGAGGAATGCACAATGTCAGCTGCTTTGGTGTGCCATCAAGAAACACATTTCCACTGGAAGTAGAGATTAAGGTATAAGTTACACCAGACTGATGTTTAGAAATGACATCAAACGATAATTTGTTTCTTCCTCAAATATATAGGACATTTAGTCTGTGGAAAACAATGTTAGATGTTTTAACAAGTTTGTCCTCATGTATCGAATGCTAAATTCAGCCACCTCGGTCCTGTAAGAAAAATGAAATACATAGCTAGCGTAGAGGGAGCTAAAGATATCCAATAACTTGAACTCATCCCATACTCTGGAATACGTTATTTGCTTAATTCAGAAATCACTCCTGTTTATCTTCAGAAGAGGATGCTGTTAAATATATCGTCAACCCTTATGGATTAACTAACCAGAGGACTATGTATTTTGTTTCAGAATAGTAGTGGTGCTGTAATTGCGTACGGAAGTGGTCCAGTGGATAGTGTACAGCCTGACCGGGAAAAAGAAACATACAACTGTACTGTATCCGGCGAGGCAACAGAATGTCTTAAGGTCAAACACGTTACTATCAAATGCGAAAGTGACATTGTCACATCATCAGGACCGAAATTCCAAGGGACCATTCTTGTCATCATTGCGATATTTTCACTTTGATTCTGCTGAAGCCACTGGACAGGAAACTTAAGGCAAAGCTGTTGAAACTGTGAACGCTGTATCCAAGCTCTAGCATTTTGCAATAATATTGTTCAACATTATTGATTGGTTATTGTAAATATAATCTTACGACTACACTGAAAACATAAAACAATTAGCATAAAAACATAATAACAACTTGTGGTGAAGTTATTTATATAGTGTATAAATACAGTATTTTGTGGTCATTGATCAGGTTATAAATCTATTAGATTCTTTAAGATAATCATAAACTACTTGGAAAATAATCATGAGTATTGTCAACATAAAGGAATGAATCCATGTCTGCTAGGCCTCCTTCAGTCAAACGCTTATGTCTAAAACTGTTATAGTTATAGAAAACTTTACCCGATGTTTGATCCTTTGCAGTTACTCTAAACAGACCAACGTTTAAGCTGCTACATGAGTGCACTTGTCTCGTTTGAAAATGTTAGCAGCTATATTGCCATAGTAATAACATTCTGTTTCGGATATAGCATGGACGGTAATATTTGTTTAAACATTGACAACGATGAATTGTTTGATATTTCATTCTATTTTTTCCCCCGTATATATAGATTTTCTGGTATATATCCTTTCAGAAAAAGTGTAGGTCTCACAAACTGATAGTGATATCTGATTCATAACGTATGTCATATTTAGTGGTACTTCGTGGTAGCAACTCGTATGGCGTATGACAGAGTTGTATTGTTAATTATCTTTCAAACTGATGTGAGTCTTTCTTCTTCTATACTTATGATCGAGGTACCCATCCAGTTTCAAAAGATATCAAACTATTCCCTTGATGTAAAATGTCTTAAGTCAGTAACTATCAGCTCCTAGTTCTATTTCTCTAAGCCTCCTAATCATATTCGGTACAATTATCTTCAGAGGCATATTCCAAAATCGATCTAATTAAGATTATGAACATTCTTTGAGTGAATTAGTTTGTGTTTGAGTGTTCTCTTTGCTGTTACTATTGTAAAAGTGCTTGAGATAATATTAGCAATTTGTATCAACCATTTGTTGTCTTGAGAGAGCTTTATTTCAAATATTTGTGTGGCGACACGTTTGAAATTAGGTTGTTGTTAAATTAAAGAGATGGGTAAATAGCATTACTTTTGTGATTAAACAACACAAATTTAGTTTCGGAAGTTTTGAATTGAATTAACAATGTATTGGCCCAGTGGCCAAGTAGGAAATATATAAATAATTTCACAATTATATATATTTGCCTCATATTTAACTGCACTGATAAATTAACTGATAGCCGTTTTATATGAAGTTTATGAAAACTAGTTACGTGTTCATTTTTAATTCATTTTAAAATTTGATGATCACTGTTCATCAATTTGTACCATTATACAAATGGTGTGACACGTGTAGGGGGAAGTAGGTTATATTGATGTTGTTACGATTTACATGCTTCTAATACGCCCATCTCTTTTTAGATTTGTGCACACCCACCATACTTTTAAGAATTCATATGAATTAAAACTGATATCTTACAACCATTATGACCTCTAAACTGCTTGTGCGGGAAAGGTATGTTTCTCCACTTTCATAAATAATATAAAGTAGCATTCAGTTTATATTCAGTAGGTCATTTCAACTCTTTTCAAGGAAAGTAGAGCATGTATTATTGATTGCTATGACACTATCAAATGTATTGTTACACAGAAACGTTTTATGACACAGAACTGCGTGTGATACATTACAAGTGTGGATATGAATGGTAGCAATACATGTTTTACTAAGCCCATTTTAAATGCGCATAAGCACATACACCTTTTCAACGCACATATTATCGATTATGCTAATCGCAGAGTGTACAGTAGTGAAATGACTACAGCTATATTTGAATATCATGCAAACGTTATGTTTAAATCAGTGCCACATCACATATGAGATGTGGCACTATTCTAAGCGTGTATATGTATGTATGAATAGAAAAAGAACAGATGTCCATTATGCTTTTGAAACGTATAATTTTCCAAACTTTCCTTCTTAGTTTAATGTATATTTGTGCACTCACACCATGAATATATTTACGTCTCCAACTAGTGTCACTACTGTCAGTAAGGCAATGTGACGTGACAAATATTATGTCGGCCGTCATACATGACCATGTCTCCCTCAATTGTCACTAAATGTAACGTCATAGGAATTCATTACGACTATGACTGCGTTTCACAAGGACTTTTGACAAGTACAAATATCTAGACTCTGTTTTGTTGTATATTTAATGCTTCTACACCTGAAGATGTCACTTTTTATATATCATTCTAAGGGAGGCTAGGCTCGGGGCAATCATCAACAGTAATCCATATTTTAATTTTCATACACTTCATGTCAATATGATAGATGCTGTGGCAACACATATGTGCTTATATATGCTGAAATAAACACATTATCCTGTCTATGAAGTTCAGTTCACAATAACTTCTCACCAGATCCTGAATATTTCAGACAATGTAAAACAAATTATGACTACACACGATCATAAATAGTGGATTTTGTACAAATGTACCCAACACATCAACACGAGAAACAATTGAACGCGTCTTGCATTCCACCTTAGGTCGTAGCTTCTGGATGTTGGGCAACAGTGAGCATTTACTTGAACCTATGTGGCGAATCTAAAAAAGACAACAGTAAGGGACCGACCATTCGATATTCTGGAGGGCACAAACAAGACATTGCTGCAAGGTGTTTTTTCCCAAAAAATATTTAGACTTATAGTTTAAAATTAGATATAAAATATATTTGACACAGTTGTCCTTCTTGCATGTTTATTATTTAATGATATATCAAACACTGTAACAAATATGACAGCATTTATTTTGAATTTAGTAAATACCTTGTTTGGAGCTGTTGAGGTACAAACATACCGCTTGTATCCCTTTTCTGTACGTAAAATACGTTAAATTTCAAGTCACAAAATTACAACTTTAGATGTCAACTTGGCTGAAACGTTATCTGACAATAGCTAATCTTACACTGTAAGAAGACGCTGAAGACCAGGGTTCGATTCCCAACATGGATACAATGTGTGGAGCCCATTTCTGGTGCCCCCCGCCGTGATATTGCTGGAATATTGCTAAAAGCGGCGTAAAACCATACTCACTCGCTGTACGTCCGCATCAAATACTGTTAACTTCATCGTTTGCTTCTTTATTATTATGAAATGGTTTGAGTGATTATGGTTACACGCTAAAACATCAATGTGGTGGCTTGTATCCTGAATACTTATTTCATGAATGGAACCTCTTCTCTTATATCCCAGTGTAACAGCGAATGCTTGACAAAGTTACAGATAACATGACATTTCCATTTTTTATGGCAAATGGCGAAGAGCGATAAACTTTCACATCTAACATGTATGGAAGGTGTATGGATACTTTTAGATAAATCTTGTGAATATACATATTACAAGCTGAATAATGATACCATTAAATGATGGAAAATATGTTTCAGGGAAGGTCGTATTGACACCCAGACCATATGCAATGATTAAGATTGGACATAATATGTGGAGGTTACATACATATGACCTCAACTATTCTTCAAGCTACCTATGTGACTAATTAGCCTGATGTTGTGATGATGACAAATGTACATGTATAACTATAACTGTCCTCATGCATGGAAAAGACAACCAGTTTATGTGTAAACATATTCAAAATTACTGTAGATTAAATTTGAATATACATTTTCTTAAGTATGCCTTTACTTTCGTCAAAATAAACAACTAATATTAAAGCATAAAACACATTACACATCTGTAACATTATTGAATTAATATCACAAGCTCAATGAACTGATTAACAATGTGTTATTGTGCTTACCAATCTCCAGAGAAAAAAACTATATTTGAATAGCTGAGAAATATATAAATAGCATTACTTTTAAACAAAATGAGTGAATAGTAAATACTGTTGAAGACTAAGACGTGGGAATATTTGCCTTCACGTTATCAAGATGCGAACACGACTGTTGTACCAGTGAGTGTGTGGCTTAAGCAATTTGTTTTCTTAAACGCATATGATACATTGTAGAATAGGAGAAGAGGTCGAAACAAGCAGCCAGTGGGCAAAGGGTCGATAATTTGAAACCAATCTACAGAGTTACTTCCCTTGTAAAGAGATGTTAAAACACTATGTTTCATGTACTCCAAAAACCCAATTTGATCAGGTACCTGCAACAACACGTAAAGAGTAAGTACAGTTACAAGCAGGTGATATCTTGTTGAACCACTGGATGATCCTCAGCTACTGTCTCATCTCCTCCATGCGGATCAGGTATTTGCAACAACAGGGATTAAATACAGTAACAAGCAGGTGATATCTTGTTGAACCACTGGATGGTCCTCAGCTACTGTCTCATCTCCTCCATGTGGATCAGGTATTTGCAACAACAGGGATAAATTATAATAGCAAGCAGGTAATATCTTGTTGAACCACTGGATGACCCCGTCACTCGATGAGAGAAACATGATATTTCACTCGACACATGAAATATCCCCTATTTATAGTGTGATGTCATTCCGACTTACGTCACCATACGATTCGAATGACGTCAACAATACCTGTAGATGTGCAACATATAGGTTTCGTTTGTAATGTTTTTCGACGACAGAATTTAAGAATGACATTATATAATAAAGAGGTTATCGCGCATGTCACATGTTATCACCTGTTTGGAATATAAATCTCCTGTATTGGGAATAGACAATTTGTATATAGTTTTCCCAGGTTCGATAAATACATTGCTTATTCCAAATACCGGATATTTATCATAAACAATGTATGTGTCCCTGACACGGGATATGTACCATTCAAAAACACACTATATATAAATAAAGAGGTTATCATGCGATATATACAAGCGTCCAAATGTTTAGTTGCATGCTATATGATGTTATACATGCATTTTTAGATAAGGAAAACAGTGGCGAGATCTATATTGCAGAATATATGAGTGAACGTTTAGAAATGTATTGTGTGTTCCATAACAACCATATAATTTCATCATATGTAGTGTGAATGTTATTGCAAAATAAGCTCATATAACTGAACGAAGAAATTTGAAATACAGAAAAAGTATTTTGTGAAACTGTTAGAGTGTATATGTAGTATAGGAAGTACAGGTAGAACTGGATGTTGTTGTTAAACTATATTCACAATTTATTCATTAATGCAGTAGGTAGAGCATACAAATTATCACCTTATCCTTACCCCAAATACTCTTACCTAAATATTATTTGAACCTTTTATTACTCCTATGCATTACAGTGGCACGGCTGTCCCAGTCGTTACAATTTACTGTGCGGTGTAGCCCACCAGAAACCTGTGATAGTTGGTTTAAATTAAGGTTCGCGCCGATTATTGTTCTATATTTGTCAGTGCCATACCCGGGTTTCACCAAAATGGTAAACGGCTAAGACCTGCATCACGTCAGACTTTCCTCACGCTTCAAACTGACACGCCGTGATATAACAGAAATAATGTTTAAAAAGGCGTTCAACCCAACTTCCTCACTCCTATGCTTTCCGGCGATCGTTCTCATCAATACAACGCAACACAACTGGATATTTTTGAGAGATAAGGGCCACTGTCACATGGACTTCGTTTTGAGAAAGGTAATGGAAACAATAACTTTATGCCTGCTAATGAACATTTTGTATTCACCGATAAATCCCTAACCTTTAACGCAGTCTGACAGGAGAGATATAAATGTTGTTATAAAATAAAACATTCGAAAAAAGAAAAGGAAATAAACTCACGTTTTTAATTTGTGTAAGGGCGAAAAGGGCCAATGTCTGTATTTTGGTCCTTTTTACCCTCAGGCATTTCCCTGGGCCTTAACATGTGAGATTGATAAACTACTACTGAAAGTACAAACACATACTGCTGAAGCACTTTTAAATGATCTTAACTAATGCATACTTCGTTGAAATAGGGGAAACATAATAATAATGTGTCCAATCTTTCAAAATCTATTGAACAACCAGCCTCAACCACACACGGAAATGAGAGCTAAATAGGCAAAAAAACAGAATCGTGACTTTGGCCCTTTGGGAACTTGACTTTGGCCCTATTACAGAATGTTAAGTAGCTATATTTTAAAAAAACGTATTAATGAAAACATACAGTATTTGCCCTGCGGGTAGACAAGACCTCAAGGGTGTCATTAATGCAATAATAAGCTAAAAAGGCCAAAGTGCATTTTGGCCCCTTTAAACTCTAAGCTCTTCAACTGTTGATCATGCTGAATGATTGAATGATGACAGAGTGTGTTATTTATGAGAAATTGTCAGATGTTATATTCGTGTTCCTGAGGGTTATTTTCGAGGGTTGTGAAAAGTGCATTTTGCAATGAAGACTATCTCTGTTCAAGCCTAATGGATTTAAGGCCACGTTTGCACGTCTCTACCCACATGAGAAAAGGAATTAATGTTCAGTTAGCAGTAAACGACACCGTTTTCACATTTATCGATAACAGCTGATTTCTCTATGGAGTTTCTCTGTGTAATGTATGTATGTATTATTAAGTTAAGTGTAAAATGTACACAGATATGCGTTCTGTTTTTGTCGTCATAAGTGCCTGTTTCGTTTATTTAAATTTCTAACGATTGTTTCAACATTTTACATTTTAACTTATTGATCACTGAGCATTATTGCTATCCACAATCTACCTCAAAGTTAATATCCTAAATCTATTTACAATTAAGGGGCTTTTGAATTAATTCATAACGCTACAGTCTACTGACTAAGGTAAGTTAAGAAACAACAAAATACCAGTTTTGGACAGGGGGTCTACTGTTTTATACTGAAAGAAGTAACCTATGAAAATGATGTGTATTCTGTTATGGAAAGCATGTATACAGCATATGCGACATGTGTACACGAATGTAAATCCCATTGCAGCACAATGGTAGTTTAAATTAATTCAATCTTATTACGCATCATTGTTACATAGCTGTTACATAAATAGTGTTCGGTTTTATTAAAGATAATTATGATATATTTACTAAACATTTACATAGTAATAGGGGCGATGAGGTAGCCTAATGGTTAAAGCGTTCGCTTGTCACGCCGAAAGCCCGGGCTCGATTCAAAGGGGAACAACGAGCAAAGTAAAGCATTTCACAATCAAATATTAATTATGGGCAGATTTGTTATTGAACCTATCATGCCATTAGCAAAGTCACCGTGCCTGAACCCCCACCCTGTAAGTCGCCTCTTTCTTCCACCATTTGTCGCGTAAAGCATAAGCTCTCTTCCCTCCGTCGTTACATATTAATCATATTAACAATGGAATGAAGCTGTGTTGTTCATAGATGTCATCCGCTGAATCTCAAATTAAGTATTGACGGGGCCAAGGAGGCAGTCAACGTTCAGACGTATACTTATATGGA